TTTCCCTAGTTTTCCTTTTTTTTGGCCTCACTGCTAGTAGCAAATATATAAAATTTCATTCCATGCAACTAAAAATTACTAGTGATATCACACAGGGCATCTTGGTGATGAGTGAAGAATATTTCCACACATTGCGAAATGAGGCAAATGAGTAGAAAGAATGAGACAATGATGTGAGTCATGTTTTTCTTTTTCTTTTTTTTGCCTCACTAATAGCAAATATGCATAATACCATTCGATGCCAATGAAATTTACTAGTGGTACCACCTGTGGCATTCTGATGAGAAGAGAAGTATATTTCTCACATACATACTGTAAAATGAGTCATAGAAAAAAAATAAAACAGTTATGTGAGCAAGGTTTCTCTTTTTTTTTTTTTTTTTGCACCACAACTAGTTGCAAATATGTATACTTTCATTCCCAGCCATTGAAATTTATTTGTGGCTTCACAGTTGGTAGCAAAGATATATAATGTGATTCGAATCCACTGAAATTTTACTAGTGGTACCACCTGTGGCAATATGATGAGAAGGAAATTATATTTCTCTAACACACACTGTGAAATGAGACAAAGAAGTAGAAAGAATGAGACGGTGATGTTAGTTATGTGGTCTCACAGCTAATAGCAAATATGCATAATACAATTTCAAGCCACTGAATTTTACTAGTAGTGCCACATGTGGCATTCTGATGAGAAGAGAAGTATATTTCACACACACACGCTGTGAAATGAGTCATAGAAAAAGAAAAAATGAGACAATTATATGAGTAATGTTTCTTTTTTTTTGCATCAAAGCTAGTTGCTAAGATGTATACTTTCATTGCCAGTCATTTAAATTTACTAGTGGACTTACAGCTAGTAGCAAATATGCATAATATCATTTCATGTCGTTGAAATTTACTAGTGATACTACCTGTGACAATCAGATGAAAATAGAAGGATATTACTCCCACACACACGTTGTGAAATGAGGCACAGAAGTAGAAAGAATAAGACAGTAATGTGAGCATTGTTGTTTTTTTTTGTCTCACAACTAGTAGCAAATATGTATATTTTCATTCTCAGCCACTGAATTTTACTAGTTGTACCACCTGTGACATTCTGATGAAAAAAAAGTATATTTATCTCACGCACGCACAATGAAACGAGTCATAGAAGAAGAAAGAATGAGACAGTTATGTGAGCTATGTTTCTCTTTTTTTTTTCATCACAGCTAGTTGCAAATATGTATATTTTCATTCACAACCATTGAAATTTACTAGTAGTCTCACAACTAGTAGCAAAGATGTATAATGTGATTCGAATCAACTGAAATTTTATTAGTGGTACCACCTGTGGCATTCTGATGATAAGAGAATTATATTTCTCACATACACACAATGTGAAACGTGGCATAAAAGAAGAAAGAATGAGTGTAATTCAATTCAAAGCTATTGAAATTTACTCGTGATATCACCTAAGGAAATGTGATGATAAAAGAAGTATATTTCTCTCTCACTCACACCGTGATAGTCGAATTGAAATGAGGCGGAGAAATGTAGCGTTGTTGTATTTTTGAATGCTCTTACTCATGCTTGTTTGCTTTTTTGCTATCATAGTAGTAAAATGGCCAATGCCAAAGAGGCTGCAACACCCGCTATAGGATAAGGAAACAAAAATAATCTTTTATGACCTTTGCCTCATTGAAATTGATCTGAGAAATAAGCCCACGACATATTTCAACAAGGGTGGCAGAATATAATCAATAAATTCAAGGAGAGTACAGGCCAAGAGCATAATGCAATTGAAGAACAAATTGGATCAACTCGATAAGGATTGGAAACTTTGGAGGGAACTCAAACACGGATCAACGGGCTTGAGGTGGGATCCAGTGAAACGAATCATTGATGTTTTAGAGGAGTGGTGAACATAAAGACTTGCGGTGAGAATTTTTCACATGCTCTAATTTATTCATTTTAATTTTATGTACTCATTAAATTGTATGATATGTATTTTGTAGGTGATGCTAGTTGCGAAGAAGTTTAAGCTTTGTGGCATTGACCCTGATTTGGAGGAGAAACTAGACAAGATGCTCAGGGGCGTTGTTGCTACAAGCAAATATGCATGCACGCCTAGTCAGGCGGGTTTTATTGCCACCCATAAGAACTTGGTGGTCGATATGTCAGCTGACTCGACCGAACTCCCCAACCCGGAAGTTGAGTCCACCTGTCGTACCAAGCGAGCCCGTGTGCAAAGTAAGAAGAAAGGCGGAGCAACTTACCTCAGAACCTATATTTCACAACTTGTAGCTTCCTCTATCCCTGACATGCATTTAATACCGACCACTTCCATTCAACAGGTCGTTCAAATTTTGGATGCAGATAAGGAAATTGTTAAGGATTGGCCATTGTACTTATTTGCACTCAAATTGTTTGAAAATCACACCCACAGAATTTTTTTGTTACGATTCCAGAAGAAAAGAGGGAGACATATCTGCGGTGATTTTATGGCAGGACATTTGAGACCATTTTTTTATTTGTTCTATTTGTTACTGTTTGGGACACCCGTATTTTTTTGTTTCATTATATTGTTATTTGGTTATTTTACCTGCTTGGGACTTTGCTCAATAATATTCATATAGGTTGATTATTCATAAATGATCACCGCCCATATATCATTAATGCTTGAGACATGATTTGTACAAAATTTACTAATCTTGTTTTGTCTCGGGTACTAAAAGGATTCAAACGAACATAGGCAGAGAAATACAACAATCTATTTGATCAACAAATATTATGAGACATATAGCCATCGCTTTTCATGTTTGACATCATCATTTATTGAGGACAGATGAGTTGGGGATTTATTTGTCAGACACCCAATTAGATTCAGCAACATGTTTCGAATGATCAAGGACATATTTATGAATCTTCTAGCAGAACTTAGCAAACGTCAAGAATTTCATAGGTCGTCAAGGACAACTACACTCGAGGTAATAGCAATCACCCTGTACATATTAGCACAGAATGAGTCAATGCGAGGTGCGATAGAAAGATTCAAGCACTCCTCTAAGACGATTAGTATATACTTTTCGGTCGGTTTAAATGCACTTGTCAGTTTTTCTGCGCAAGTTATTAAACTCAACAAATCCTAACTTCGAGCAAACGTCTTCGGAGATTCTACACGATGCACGCTACATGTCATTCTTCAATGTAACTTTTCAAATTTAAGGCATTCAAATTTAAATATGCATGCCTTATATTTTGAACTTTTTCTTATTTGCGTAGGATTGCATCAGACCAATTAATGGAATCCACATTGATACACGGGTTCCAAATAGCGAAAAAGTTACATTTATCGGACGATGCGGGTCGCTGACGCATAATGTCATGGTTGTTTGCGACTTTAACACGTGTTTTATTTTCGTTATGCCCGGTTGGGAGGATAGTGCGCATGACAGCAGAATTTTCAGGGCGGCAACGCGAAATACCGATTACAACTTCCCACATCCTCCTTCAGGTATGTTTCAACCTCAAATACTTTGGCTATTAACTTTATGAGATACTATATGTGCAAAACATCTCAAACAAATATTATTTAGTGGATGTTGGTTATCCGCTGTAACAAGGTTATCTCAAAGTCTTTCCGAAAAGATATATCATATACCTGATTTCGAGCGCGTCAGCAACGTTAATTATGGCAGGAAGGAGATGTTTAATAAGTGACATTCTTCCTTACGGGGTGTCATCAAGGAAAATTTTGATGTTTGAAAAAAGAAATGGGTTATACTCCGCGACATGTCATCTTACCCGTTTACTAAGCAGGTCCAGATTGTCACTGTCACGATAGCTCTGCATAATTATATTCGGCGACATCCTTCCATCAACGACACTGACTTTCGTAGAGCCGACGAAGATCAGGAGCATGTACCCCTGAAAACATATGAGTACCACCTGGGGCATTCACTGCCACAAGCGGAGAAAGATGCATCCACTATCTGTTCTAAAGTGGGGGAAAGTGCAAGCAAAATGGTTGAGTTGAGGGAACATATTACTGATGCGTTAGCAGGAGGGTGGTTGGATTTCTTTTTTTAAATTATTCGGCAATATGTGTACTTAATTTTCTTTGAAAAAAAACATTTATAGAATTAATGTTTTCTATCGAGCATTCGAATCTATATTTATTTTATTCAGAGTCACATGTACTTTACATTTTATAATGCTGCTTTGAAAATTTTATGTTATTTCAAAATTTATTTTTTCAATTACTTTTTTTAGTAAATTCAATTCTTGTCATCACTAATGTTTGTATTTTATAGGAATCAAGAAAGATGAGTTCAAGAGTTTCAAGGACGACGACTGCTTCGCCACTGCGGACTACAGACTACCCTACTGATGGCACGTCAAGCTCACAGTTACGTGAGACAGTTCTATAGGTGTCCCAGGGGCATGGATGAGAGGCGTGACTTCTTCCGATAGGCGGACAGTCCGTCGGATTCCACTGCATGCGGTGATCGGGATTGGATAGTGTCACTAGAAGACGTTGTGACACGAGAGATACATAGTCTACATGCTAAAAATAATTTAATCATTTTATTAAATGCAATTTTAATATTTCTTGACGTTTTTCTTCTACTCTTCGTACTCATTGTTAAGTGAGTTATGTATCTGAATTTTCGTATTGTTTTGAACTGAATTTCTGCTTTTAAAGTGTCAAATATATAAGTGTCACAGTTCTGTTACAAAAAAATTTACTAAACTGGGGCAGAAAGATCATTTTTCTGAAAGAAACTGCCCCGCAACTTTTTTCACACAACTACAATAAACAGGCAGCAAGCTTCTCCGCAACAGCTTCTTGGGGCAGTGCAGCTGCAGCTGAAAAGTTGCAGCTACCCCAAACAGACCCAACTGGATAATAACCTTATATCTATAAGAAAATCTGAAAAGTAATTTAAACTTTCATAAAGAGTTATAAGAATAAAGAGACCAAACTCTGCAAATATATGCATTTGTTTTAAGGACAAAGAAACCAAAATCTGCACATATATACATTTTTTTTAAATATAAATAAACCAAAATCTGCACATATATTCATCTGTTCTAAGTGTTATATATGCAAATACATAAAGGTTGGAAAAAATATGAATTTTACCAAATCAATTTATGTGTTATGTGTGCAAATATATTAACATCTGGATAATCTGAAGTTTAACATTTTAATTTATAAATTTTAGAAATTATATATATTGAAACACTTTAGGAATTGACTAACATATATTCTTATTTTAAAGGTGTAGATATTATGTATTTAAATATATTGGGGTTTAGAAAACTTGTAACTTAAAATCTGAAATTAAGTGTTATATATGTAAATATATTGAAAAATCTGAAATTTATACATTTCAATTAAATGCTATATATTTCTATACATTGAAAATCTGAAACTAATCAAACCTTCATTTGAGATTCATGTATTAGATATGTAAATACTTTAAGGATTAAGAAAAACATCAAAACTTCATTTGGAAATTAAATATAACACATGCAAATGAACACAATTAGAAAAAAAAAAACAGCGAACCTTCATTTGAAACTCAAGTATAAGTTATAAAAATGTAAATATATCATGATTAAGAAAAGCTGTACTTATACAGTTGGAAATTAAGTATTATGCATGTAAACGCATGAAGTTGAAGAAATCTGTACATATGCTATTGGAAATTAACTAATAAATCTGTAAATACTTGAGGATCTAAAAAATATGCACATATACAGTGTAGTTTAATTGTTATGAGTGTAAATACTTATGAGTTAAAGAATCTGTATACTCAGATTTTTCGATCAGGTGTTATGCATATAAATGCAAAAGCATTGAATGGTATGTATGTAAACCTCCCAAAAATCTAGTGTTGCATATGCAAACACATAAGAATCGTTGGTATGCATTTAAATTTTAAATACTCCAAATACATGTGTGTTACATAGATTTTGGGAAGAAGGTTGAAGGTGTGAAAATAGGGTTTGTTACTTGAGCTTTTGAAAAATGAACTCTTTTAGGTTTTCTGTTTCTTGGTTTTGGTCAAAAAGAGGCTTCTTAAATTCAATCTTAACAATACGATGGAATATAAAATGTTGGGGAATGAAGGTTAGTAGGGCTGTCAAAAAAGCTCGTTGTTCGCGAACAGTTTGTGTTCGGCTCGTCGAGGAGTTCGTGTTCGATTTGTTCGAAAAGAAAATGAGACGAACACGAACAATTTTTTTTCGTTCGGTTTATAAACGAACCAAACACGAACAGTCATTTGTTCGATCGTTTTTTCGTTATTTTTCAAAATACAAAATAATTTAAAATAATTATATATAAAAAATTTGGCATATTTTAAAAATAATTATGTACTGTAAAAATTTATCATATTTAAAAAATAAATAAATCCTATAAATTATAATATGATCTTCAGGTTCGCCTCTTAGCTTATATTAAATTCTATAATTTCTTATTTATCTTCAGGTTCGTCTCTTAGCTTAAATTTTCTTATATTTATTTTAAATTTATTTAGTTTCTTTGAGTGAAACCAAGTTTATGGGGGTGAAATTTCGCATATTGCCTTTAAATCTGAATTTTTTATGGATGAGATAAGATATTATGGTTTTATTGTGAGCTATACTTCGGCTATTTTGCATTTGTGTTGTGATTCATACAAATTTAAGCATTAATTTCTTATAGGTTTAAGCTTTCTTATAGGTTTAAGCTTTTGTAAGCTTTTGAAATATTTTAAACAAAACAAATTTGTAAGATTTCGAACAATTCAAACATTTCAAATATATTTCAAACAAATCAAACTGAACACGAACAGTAACTTCACGAACAGTAACTTCACGAACAATTTCAAACATGAGTCTATTTCAAACACACGTAATTTCAAACAAACTAAACACGAACTTGAGCTTTGTTCGTTAGTGTTCGGTTCGTTTACACCCCTAAAGGTTAGAGAGCTTTTGGAAAAAAAAATTAACTAGTTTTTGTTTTCCAAAAGAGGATCAAGACCGCTTCTATCCTAAGAAGCGAGAACCTACAGATTTTCTTCTTTTTCTTCTCAATTTTGGTAATGAACGAGTTGTTATTCGAAAGGCCAAAATTAAGGAGTCCTCATACCTAGTAAACCGTTTTCTAACTTATTTTGATGGAATGCAGCCCATTTACAGAAGCAACCCAGCATAATCTCTCAAATCAAGGTTCACAACCAAGACATTCATCCATCAGAATCAGAAACCTCACTAGGCAAGCAATCAAGAGAAATGGGAAAACAGGAACACAACTCACCGAAAGAAATCTAATATGGTAGCCAGCACCAAGAGATTGACGGGCTGTTTGGTAGCCGGTTTTAAGCAGGATTTACGCAGGATTAAGGCTAAATCCTGCCAAATGGAAATCTCCGTAAATCCTGAGATTTGGTAAATCCCCAATTCGCCATAAATCCGGGATTGAGTAAATCCCTTGAATCGGCGGATTTAGTAAATCCGGGACGAGCGAAGAGAAAGAATGGCGCGAACAGGCTTACCTTCCTCAATGGTTTCTGGTAGGAGCCGAGCTAAAGGATGAGAAAGATGGGAGTTTCGGTGGTCTATGTAAGCCGCGATCCCGTCGTTGCGCTCTAATGAGTACTGTATGGTGAAAGTTCGTTCACGAAGGCCATGGTTTCGAGCGAAACCGGGAGGAGTAGGGAGATATGCGACATATTTAATAACTATGGAGGATGTAAGCGAGGGTAGGGTTTCGGGAGAGGGTAAGTGATGACTGATGATTGCATAATTCATTAATTTAATTGATTAGGATTAAGAATTAATTTACATATTATTAAAATAATTTAAATTAGATAAATTTAAATGTAATTATTTAATAGTTAAGTAATGAATAAAATATATTTTAAATTTTAATTTATTTAATAAAACTTTAAGTAAATATTTATATCATTCGTTAATAATTGATTAATGTTAATTTTTTTTAACAACAAATTAAAAGTTTTATTAATTATTAATTAATATAATTTATTATTAATTAATGTAAATATCTTCTTTATGCACTTTGGGATACTTGTTTGTATTTTTTTATTTAATAGTTTTTTTTTTTTTTTTACTTTCATAAATCTTGTTAGATCCTTCTCTATAACTGTCAAATAGTTTCTAGGGATTTATAAAGATTTACTCACTAATATGTCAAACAGTTTTCAGGATTTAGCTACTTTAGGATTTGATAAATTTGAATATACAGGATTTACCAAATCCTATTTTAACTAAATCCTATTTGTAACCAAACAACCCCTTAGAAGAGTTTTGATTTAGAGAAGAAAAGTACTTGTGAATCATAAAAAAAAGATCTACACGTCAAAGATGATTACATATGATCTGATGAAAAGAAAAAGAGTTTCAATTTACCTCTGATTGTTCTTGTAGAGCTCGATTAGATGGAAGGAGAAAAACTTGTGAACTGAATGACGATTTGTTCAGATGGAAGGAGAAACTTCTTCTCACGCTCTGAGGAAGGGGGGCGGCTTGAGACTGCGATCCAAAAAAAAAAGGAAAATTGGTGGGTTTAATGTGCTAATGTGGCATGTCAAGCAAGTAATGACCTGGTGCTGAGGTGGAGGTTAGAGTTTAGAGCATCTACTCAATTGAGTGAAGTCATCTCGATTAGTTAAATCTGGTGGGTTATTTAGCTGGCACTAAGGAATCAAAAACAACAAATAATATGTCTTTAAGCACTATGATGTGGGGGTTGTATCTTGCTAATATGAATACTCCCGTGACGCAAACCGTCTAACAGGTTACCTCACACCGTGTTTGAACCTTAGGCCCAAGGTCCATACAGACAAATTTCATTACATAACCATGTTACTTGGCAACACGCTTATTGTTCATCCTCTGGAGCTCTGTTGAGACGCGTTCAAACCTTTATAGAGGCTTCAGAATCATAATTGCTCATATCATATCCATTAAATGTCCCACGAGGCTTGAAATCCCCTCAACAGGCTTTCTGGAAACCCAAGTTATGTGGGGTCTGGCATGACCACGCCTAATTCAATTGTGGTCATGCCAAGCCCATGGCATGACCACACCTAAATTGGGTGTGGCCATGACAAAACCTCCCTAAAGGCCTAAAAGACCTATAATTGGTGTAACCATGCTTAAGGATGGCATGACCCACTAGAAAAATAGAGGCTATGATGTATTAGGCAACGAATTTGGTGTGACCACGCCCAAATCTCGAAAGGCACCTTGGTTCATTAACTGTCATGACCATGCCTGAGGATGACATGACCACGCTGACCAGACAGAGAGTTGTTGTAATTACGCCTGCTCTCTGGAGTGGCCACGCCGACCCCTAATTTGTGAAGCTCGCTTCAGTGGTGTGACTACACCTGAGCTTGGTGTGGCCATGCTAGGTCAACCTATTTTGTGAATATGGCCCTCTGGTCCTCAGATTCCCATCGGCAAGGCAGACATAACCACTAGACAACCCTATTTTGCCTGTTTCTTCACCCAAATATGACTTAGGGAATATTTTGAACCATTCCAAATTAAGAAAGTCACTTTAAACCTCTGAATATTCTCCCTAAAGCTGAAGGAACCATTAAGAAGGGCTCGCTTAAATCAATTGGCAGCTGTCTGGGAGGGAGGGAGCTTGGGAACAAGAAAGCTTGAAGGAGGAGCTTCTAGGGAGTTTACTTGAGGGATTCTTCACCTTTCTCAATGAGAAGGTTAGAGAAATTGTTTTTCTCCATCTTTTTCCTCTTTTCCTTCATTTCATCAGTCATCTTCTTCATCTTTGGTGACCTTCAAAGAGTCAACGAGGAAAGCCTCCTCATTGCTTTTGGTAAGGGGAGCTTCAACGATTTCTTAATTCTCTCTTACGAAGGGAGCTTCTTCACATATTGGGGAAGACAAAATCAAATGACCTCATCGCTCTCTCTGACAATGAGAACTTCTTCCTACAAGAGCAACACTTTGATCAAACATTATGTTGGTGAGATCCCTTATTCTCTTGTTATTTTTATTTCTAGTAACCCCTATCTGGTTAGAATTTTTGTGTTTCTAGAGGAAGTACCATAGGATTGGGTACTTTGTGCTCTTCATTGCAAAATGCAAGAGAAAATCCTATCCATTTTATTTCTAGACCAAATTCCGTAAGTCAGGGTTGTACTAGCCCCACCGTTTGCATCAGTGATTTCATCCAGATGGACGTTTGAAATCCGTCGATTGAGAAGACAGAGTCGTTCATTTGGTATTTGTCTCCTTGTTCATGGAGAATTCCCCTTGTGAGGGATTCCCCATCTAGCGTCGTCCAAATAGAGGTGAGCGTCATGTTGCTTTTGTGCAATATGGTGTTGGTATATCTCTCCATTGCTAATTGCACAATAGGTTTTTTGTGAGTTCATTAGGACGAGTTCAACCTGTCATCGAAATCAATCATCATCCATTTCATTCATGTGTCAGCATTTATTGTATATCTTCCATGAATTTTAAATTTGCGTTAAAAAATATCCATTTGCATGCACCATCAACCATTCCACACTTCACCCAATTAGATTGATTCACTTATATGGGTTTGTCTCATCAGCCGCCCCTACTCTAATCGGCATGAATGACTATCCTGAGTCAATCGACCACGCACTCTAGACCGATCGACCATCTTCAGTCAATTTTATCGATCAGTCGCCACAGGCTGAATAGCATCGAATCGACTATCCTTCGTCGATCGGCCACACACCTTGGTCGAATCGACCTTCTTCGATCCATAATCGATTTGCAACACCACCGGTCTGATTGGTTTATTGACCATTGTCTGTCAACTCTACCAAACATCTACCACTGACCCAATCGTATCATTCGACCATCTTTCATCGATTGATCATTGTCGATCTGACTGACCATCTTCGGTCCACTTGATTGATCAGTCGCCACCGACCCGATCGGATCGCTTAACTACCCTTTGTTGATCGGTTGCACGCACCAGCTCAATCAACTATCATCATTCCTTTTGATCAATCAACGATCATCAATCCGATAATATTAAATGACAAATCCTTTGTAGATTGCCACACTTACTGGCCCAATCGACCACCCTCGATCCACTTGATCAATTGGTGTTGTCCCCTATTCAATCGATCAATCCATTACTGGCTTTTGTTTTAATGCATTCATCACATTCTTTTCAAACTGCCTCCATTAGCACATTCACATTCATGCTCTATAATGTACTTGTGAGCATATGCCCTCATTACTATACACCTTGTAGGTTCCACCATATCTTGTATGTTTACACTTCACTTGTGCACTCTTGCATGACTGTCTCGTATGACATTTCGTATGTTTCATTGTCCGCATGATTGAGTCTGCTTGAGTCACTATCCGCACATACTCGCTCCATATACCTACATGTCTGCGTCGTAGATGGCTTGTCACCAAGTCCATCCAATATGTAGTTCTCTCCACCAGGAGTAACATTTCTTCATTTTCCACGATGCCGCTACAGACTGTCGTAGGCATTATTCTGAGTCACAACCTCCTCGACACACTCACTCACGAGTCACTGTCTCCTCAACACACTCATCATTGAGTCACCACCTCCTTGGCATACCCATCACCGAGTCACCGCCTCCTCGGTACACCCATCACCGAGTCACCACCTCCTCAAAACACTCATCACCTAGTCACCGCCTCCTCGACATACTCACTTCTAAGTCACTGCCTCCTTGCGACACTCACCCTTGAGTCACTGCCTCCTCGACACATTCATCCACACTTGGGTTGTATATCTTGCATGTGTCACTCCACACTATCGACGCATTTGTCATTAGTAAATGCCTCCATATACTTGCAGAGAATGTTTGTGATCTTTCAATCATTCCTACTCTGTTATAATGATCACTTTATAATTGCATGTGCATTTCTGGTTTGTCTTGACGATGAATCTAACTAGTTAGTTAAGTGACTCGTTGTTGGTCACGATGGGGTAACGAGTATTACCCACGGGAATGCCTCGACGAACAATACTAGGTACCACGTTGTGATTAGCACTCTGATACACCTAACATATATAGTATTTTTAAACACATTTTTACACATATTTTTGAGATATTGCGCTTTAATGGAAGGCATTTGTGTGTTTTTCTTTCAAGTACAAGTAAAAAGGTGAAAAATGTTAAAAAGAGTGAAAATGATCAAATTTAGAGAAAAAAATGTGAAAATGGTGCAAAAGTGTTTTGGCGTCTAAGCGCCAGATCCAGCGCTTAAGCGCCGGTGAAACAGAGAAGGTCGCGCCTAAGCGCCATAGGCCCGCGCTTAAGGGCTAGAGACAGTTATTTGGTGGTTTTCTTCATTTTACCGAATTTTGAAGGGACATTTGAGACACCTATTGGCTAAAGAGGGTGGTTATGACCACTAAAAATAAATTTATGATTAAAGGACTTGTGAAAGGAGACATCATTTGGAGAATACATCAAATTGAGACATATTTTGAAGAGTTATCAAGACACCTCTTAGAGATTTATAAAAGAAGGAAGTTAAGGCCTTTTAAAGTGTGCTTGAAAGTTATGAAAAATGTTGGAAAGGGGGAGTTCTGAGAGATAGTTGTGGAGAGATTTTCAGGCATCACAAATTTACTTTATCCTTTTTGTTTTTAGTTTTATTGTGAGAGTTAAGTTTTTTGTGAAAGAGTAGAGATTTAAAAGAACTTCAAGAGTTTGGTGGAGGAATTAAGATAAGTTTTTATCTTTGTTATTAAATTACTTTTG